CAAGTATGACTCATGCGAGAAAAGGTGGGGCCCGAAGAAACTGCTTACTGGATCTTGGTGTCGGACATGCGGGAGATGACTATAAAAGGGAGCTGGAGGGAACGTCGGCGGCGTCAAGAATTGAATCTCGACATGCCTGGCTGAGATATTGCGACTTTTGGTGATGAGGTTGGATGCTGCCTGATGCAGCTTAGCGTCGGATATTTGTTTGTGTTGTCCGTGCGAGCTAAGGTCATATGTTCTTGGCATGATTAGCTAAGCATACTGTATACGACCGCGTCAAATTGCCGGTTACGTGCTGCTTCACGTCGTCTCTTTTGCTTCCCGTCTTCTTGTCGTCGTGCCGAACCTCACGTCCTCTTGCAATTGTTGCCTTGTTCAACAATTCGGGGCGGCGAGGATCTCGTTTGTTCTTCTTCTTACTCTTCAATTGATATCCTGTTCTTAACTCTTTATCATTTATTTTAAGCTCCCCCAGTTCAATTCCCGCACTTCCCAACGCGGCTCTGTTGTGCTCAATCAGAGCTTCCAATTTCACCTTAAATCGTTTTCACAAACATTCCCTCCTCCCTTGGTGTTCACTGCTTGGGCGCTGCTGTCTCTATTATCATCGATACTACCATCTTGTAATAACTAAATCGCGTCAACTACTTCCTGCTTTTCAACATTTCCGAACACGACGTGACGTGACGGCAGCTGCAGTTTTCGTGTTGACTGGGCGGTGGATCCCCAACCACCGACACAAAAGCAAAAGTTATTAGAAGCTGCAGCACCACTTTTCTTAGTCTTCAAGTTTGTAATTTCTGGCCTCAGCTCACTGCCGTTTGATATGGCGTCCGAAGATGGGATCTCGGTCCGCCAGATGAGACGTATGTTTACCATGGCTATTCTTCTCTCCATCGATGGGTATTCATGTCTAACCAAAAATTCATTATATAGTCAAGGTCCTTTACACATTCGACAGCGAGAACAAAACAAATTGTCTGGCTCGATGGCCCCACCTCATCGACATCCAAACAGCTTTTATAGATGAGGAGACCCAGGTCGGGGTCATTGAGCTGAAGACGTGTATACAGGCTATTGTTTCTGCTAGGTATGAAGCAATAACCCACTTATACAGGTCAAGGGCTAATGGAAATTGTCTCGATTTTCTACAGCCCGGAGTTAGTTGCTAGGCTTGGTCGAGATTATACGATTTACGCATATGATTATTCTGAGTATGAGACGCCGTTGGTTGGGCAGGGAATGCTCTCGTGGGTATTGGCTTCTGCCTCACCGACTCCTGATGCCCCGGCACATCAGTCGAAAACGATGGTTACTGGGCGTGTTTGCAAGAATGTTTTTGGCCTTTTCTCGAAAGGAGGACAAGAAACCCTCGAAGTCAAACTGCGACTCGTCCCTGTCCCAACAATCTACCAGAACGAATACCTTAACAGCATGCATAAGTATCGGGAGTCGAGCCATGCAATTCCACAAGAGTTTGATGCTCAATCTTGGGCAAACTTTGTTCAATCCAATCCTGGCCTCCTAGCCTCAGGTGGCTCCGGTTCTGCCCCGCCTCCTTCAGACAATGCGCTGTCGCCAGTGGACAGATCCGGAATTGATCGACTCCACCAGATGCTGAGCGAAGGCTCAACTCCAAGAGACTTTTCGAATATTGCCACTACAGAACCTGTTCGTGCCGAATCTCCTGCTCGTTCAACTCGCGCTACACCAAGTCGAACTTCTACTCCTGGCCTAACAAGGACCGATAGCCAACATCAAAAGAGACCTTCTGGGGATGCATTTCGTCCATTTTCACGAGCATCTGGCTATGATACGGACTCTCGTCGACGGCCACCTCCTTGTCGGCGAGATTCAACTTTCTCTGGATATGGGAGTGGTGACGAAGTAAATGAGGCCCCTGCGCCCAAGAGGGCTAAATTGTTGAGGGCGGATTCCCTCGACAAAGCTCACATGAACATAGAAAGGCAGCCTGGCTCCCTTCGTGTTGCAGCAAGTACCGCCGCATCCGTACGCATCCACCGTCCCATGGCCATGAACCCAGCGGCTGCTCGAGCTCAGGCATCTAACGACGATCCTGTCCGCCCACCTACTCCCATTCCCAGGGTTACCACTGCTGCCACTCGTCCCATCCGCCCACCACTCAGCAATCTTCGCCGTGAGTCATCCAGTGCCAGCCAAGTCCCGTATACCTCACCATATGCTCACCCTCTCGAGGCTGCTGTCACGTCGCCTGAAGATGTTCGATATGGAAATGCCATTGATACGCCTTTCAATATGCCATCATCTCCTCCAGTAATGGAAAACATGTATCCTCAAACATCTAGTCCCCTTCTTCCGCCTCTTCCTGATCACGACTCGGGTTTTATGAGCAGTAATTTGGATTCAACTCTCGACGATAATTGCATTGGTATCACTCTCGATGAACAGGATACCTCCACTGGCCAAGTGAGGGAGACACAGGCCAACCCTGAGAAGGAAAACTTAAATTTGCCATCTCATAACATTCCCCAGATGCGTACAAACCAAAACAGTTTTCCGATGAGTGACAGTGTAGTTGATGCCACCACCAATGAGCCACCTCCTGCCGTACCACCCCCACCGAGAAGACTAACTGGGTCCCGTCCTTCTTCGCGTGCTAGCATTAGGCAAAATTCGAAACCTCTTGCCCCTGCTCCCATCTCCCAGAGCGAAGCAGAAAGACTCAGCCGCCAGGCAATTCCCGCTAGCGACCCTGTGCACCCTGCACAAACCTCGCAGCAACAAACTCAGCCATGGAATGGCCCAATGAGTGACTTTCCGACCGCTACCACCCCTGCTCCAATACCTACGGATGACCTAAAAGTACGAAGCGGAGCAGGGGCCAGAAGAACCAAACAAGTTCAAGCACGACTGGAGCAATGCATACGTCAAGGTACTGTTCCACCCTATTGTGAAAATTGTGGGGCAATTGAAACACCTACTTGGAGACGAGCTTGGTCGAAAGTTATCCAAGGCAGCGCTCAAGATGCAGATTCCTACGAAGATGATCCTTCCATGCTCTTCTGGCGTCCAGAGGAATTTGCTTCGGATGGGAAAACTGTCATAGCTTTCAAGCAATTTAAAAAGTCGTTGGCAGATCACGATAAGGATTTTGTTCAACTCTTACTATGCAACCGTGAGTATAAAAAATGCTCTTTTGGCTGTTTTTTTTTTTTTTTTTTTTTTTCAAGAACTTGGCTAACGATACATAGCATGTGGCTTATGGCTCCATAAATTCAAAACAATGCGTCCGGAAAATAAATGGAACAAACAGCCCCCAAAGGATAAGGGGAAACGACAAACGAGAAGAACCAAACCCCCAGCTGGCACTTCGACGAGATCGTCTCGTAGCAAAGCCCTAGCTTCAAAGCGAAGCGAATCATCTCCTGGACCCACAGACGCCTCTTCACCGGCTTGTGAAGAAGCAACCACTCCTGCCGAGAACGGGAACGGTACGCCTGCAGCTAATGTTGCAGATGCGCCATCCCTATGCCGGTCTGTCAGCCGGCGGGCGAATAGCGAAGAGCCGCCCAAGTCTGCGCATAAACGCGAAAATCGATGGCGGGAGGAAGATGCAAGAAAGGCTTTACATCGTGCAATTCAATCTAGCCCAGCTCGCAACATGGAAGGCCGAACTCTGCCCTTTATGGAGGAGAATCTTACACCTAAACCCGTTCGCAGGTCTCTATTCCCTCCATCCAAGGATGGGGATACCATGAAGACCCTTACTGATGCATCGATCAATGTGATACGAAGAAGCCCGCGGGGTTGCGTCCAAGCAATCGAAACTGACCCCTACCAGAGAAGGCGCTACCGCACGAGTGAACGATGGCCTTGATGCGCTTTTTGTGTGCAGCGACACTGAAAATGATCCATTACATTGCCAGGGCAGCCCTACGCGGAAACAAAATAAAAATA